GACGTGATCGCAAAGGTCGTGAGCGATCATCTCGAGAAGAAAGGACAAGTGTTCTCGTTGACAAACGAAGTTCTGATCTCGAGCATAATCGACTTCGATGAAAATGGGGCCGACGACAGGAAAAAGGACGGGGTCGAAGATCCGTCGAAACAAGAGAGCTTGGTGTCTCTGATCGCCGAACTTAGCTTGGAAGAAGATGCCGAAGACGAACGCCCGGAACGAAAAGAAGAAGAAGAAGGAGTTTGTGCGCCCGTCGAAAGCTATACGAACAAGGTACGCGTCGGCGGCGACGACGACGACGACGAGAAATCTCGCGGAGATCTATTGAGGGAACTTACCGATCTCAATGACGAGATGTCGTGCAAGGTGTGCATGGATCGCGATTCGAACGTCCTCCTGACTCCGTGCAACCATCTAGTCTGCTGTGACTCGTGTTCCGTCAGGTTAGCGTCGTGTCCGATCTGTCGTACAAAAGTCGGTGAAGTCGTCAAAGTTTAGGTCATGGAGACGATGGCCGAAACGACGAGAATCATAAGAGAAACGATAGCTGAAACGACGAGAATCATGAGAGTGTTTGCAAAAGCGATAAACGAAGCCGAGTTGCACGGTGATAAGGTAAACCGATTTTTTTTCGACGAGTACCAACGCGTCATCGACCCGACCGTCAGCGACGAGGAGTGGGAAACCCGATATTTTTGTACTATCCGTGGAAAGAGGTATCTGAAAGTGGGACATTTGAAAGTGATAAAAGAGATCGACAGATTGAGGACTGCGTGCAAGTCGGAATCTCGTCGCGTGCTTTCACCTCCCTTTCAGATCGCCAGAAGGTGCATAGTGCATCGCGACCCGGACGATCCTTTCAACCGGACGGCGACTAACCGAAGCAAGGAAGGAATAGACGTTCGACCGAAAGGATACCCAGGTAACAAGCCCATAAGGGACCCATATGGTGCCCATATGCAGATCTATATGGGTACCATATGTGCAATCCTTGAGGAAACCTCCGGATTCTGCACCAAAGTTCCATGTGGGACCCATATGATTTAGCCCACATAGCCCAGATATAACCCATTTGGGGCCCACATGGAACCCACATTAATTTGTATGTGGGTGGCATATAGGTTTCCCATATGGGACCTATATTTTCTGACCCATATGGGTACCATATGTGCTATCCTTGAGGAAACCTCCGGATTCTGCACCCAAGATCCATGTGGGGCCCATCTGACTTAGCCCATAGCCCAGATATAACCCATTTGGGGCCCATATGGAACCCACATGCATTTTTACATGGGTGGTATATGGGTTTCCCATATGGGACCTATATTTTCTCGATCCATATGGGTAACATATGGGCTATCCTTGAGGAAACCTCCGGATTCTGCACCCAAGATCCATGTGGGGTCCATCTTATTTAGCCCATAGCCAAGATATAACCCATTTAGGACCCATATGGAACCCACATGCATTTTTACACGGGTGGTATATGGGTTTCCCATATGGGACCTATATTCTCCGGACCCATAAGGGTAACATATGGGATATCCTTGAGGAAACCTCCAGATTCTGCACCCAAGCCCCATGTGGGGCCCATGTGGTTTAACCCATAGCCCAGGTATAACCCATTTGGGGCCCATATGGAACCTATATTTCCCAACCCATGGGTATGATATGGG